GTTGGTGTAGAACCAGGCAGTGTTTTGTTCTGTTGTGCATAGGGTTGCTATTAGTCGGTACCAACTCGATGGCACCTAACAACAACAACAGCATGGTCTACTATAATAGGAATGACAAATTGAAAAGGAATAGTGTCATATTCCAAAAAAAAGAACATTTGAAGTTCTACCCTGAAGTACAATGCTGTCGGAGATAGGACAACAGTCAGACCCCTACAAGGAAGATCAGTTCATACAACTACTATTCAAGTTTACACACCAACCACTAATGCCAAAGATGAAGAAATTGACGATTTTACCAACCTCCGCAATCTGAAATTAATCAAATATGTAATCAATATGCATTGATAATTACTGCTAATTTAAATGGGAAAACTGGAAACAAAAAAGAGGGATCAATAGTTGGAAAATATGGCCTTGGAGATAAATCAACACTGGAGATTGCATGATAGAACTTTGTGAGACCAGTGACTTATACAAATGCAAATACCTTTTCTCAACAACATAAAACAAGGACCTCACCAAATAGGATACACAGGAATCGAATCAGCTATGTCTGCATGTTAGCATGTTAACAGAAAGGACCAATGCCTGAAGAAGGATATCATGCTTAGTAGAAAGTCATCAAAGTAGAGGAAGACCTTGACGCAGTGTCTGCAACCATGGGCTCAGATGTAGCCATAATTGTCAGGATGGCACAGGACAGGGCAGTGTTTCATTTTGTTTACACGGGGTTGCTATGAATTGGAGCCGACCGATTCAATGGCACCTAACCACAACACTGTGTTCTGATTGCCCTGAAGTAGCTGACCCCGTAGTGAAACGATCTTTTGTTGTTATCGTTGTCAGGTGCCATCGAGTCAGTTGCAACTCAGAGCAACCCTGTGCACAAGAGAACGAAACACCGCCCGGTCCTGCACCAACCTCACAATTGTTGCTACATTTGAGTCCATTGCTGCTGCCACTGTGCCAATCCATGTCTTTGGGGGTCTTCTTCTTTTTCTCCAAGCCTCCATTTTACCAAACATGACACCCTTCTCCAGGCAACTAACTGGGCCTTCCTGACAATATGCCCAAAGTATGAGAGACGACATCTGGCCATCCTGGCTTCCAATGATCATTCTGGCAATACTTCTTCCAACACATATTGGTTTGTTGTTTTGGCAGTTCATGATACTTTTAATATTCTCCTTCAACACCATAGATCAAAAGCATCAATTCTTCTTATTCACTGACCAATTTTCCCATGCATATGAGGCTACTGAAAATGCCATGGCTTGGGTCAGGCGCACCTTAGTCCTCAAACTGACATCTTGGCTCTTCAACACTTTAACGAGGTCTTGTGCAGAAGATTTGCCTAATGCAATGCATCATTTGAATTCTTGACTGCTGCTTCCATGAGTGTTGATGGCTGATAGGAGCAAAATGAAGTCTTTGATAACTTCAATCTTTTCTCCATGTATCGTGATGTTATTTGTTGGCCTTGTGGAGACTCATTGAAGACTCCAACTCAGTAGTAGCACTGCAGAGCTGGGACAGTGTCCTCCAGGATGCAGTATGTGCACTGAATCAACCACCACCTATGACTTTCCCCATAGAAGGATTAAGGGGATGGAAATGACAATGTCTTCTCTATTACCCCCAATAATCTACTGGTGAAATTTTGACTTCCTGTCCATGCAACTTCATATTCATCTTATCTAGAGGTCTTCGGTTTCATGGAAATGCTCTACTTCACAACATTTGCCGTTGTTTCTGTTTGGAAGACAAACTTGTTTTTTGTTTTCTAAGTGTGGTTGCATGCTGGGCTGACAAAGGGGGACTCTCCTGTCAACTTGGTTAAAAGGAAATGTGTTCCCTTCCTTGTATGGTTCTGACTGAAGTGGTCAGGAGAACTTGAGGCAGAGGTAAATTCGTACTCTCGGAAGGATGTAGTGGTCACAAGTGGTGACGGGTTGACCACTGGACCCAGAAGATGCCAGCTCAGCCTCTTACCTGCTCTCTCTGCACCTCACATCCTGGTCACCCAGACCACCAGGGCCACAGAAAACAGCATCCCAGGGCCTCTTCCCTTGTAAACCTGTCTTATGGCTTTCTAAAAACTTTTGTTGTGTCTCAGGGACAGATTAGGACCCCGAGGCCCTAGGCCTCTCTTACCCTGGCTTCATAGCCACCCTTTGCCCTAAGTCCTCTCCTACTAGACGGGGATCAGGAAAAGCAGAAGACATCTCTAGCCCAACAAGAATCGGAACATTGAGAGGAGGAGCCTGGAGACAGAGATAAAGATACCAGGATCTGAAACTCTGACAGAGAAATGCAAAGAGGAAGAACTTGGCAGACAGCCCATAAAAACGGCACCTAGAGCTGACAGTTACAAAAAACACTCCATTTCCAAGAAGCCTGCACTCCTTTACTAAAAATCAAATGAGTATTCAATATACCACTCCTCCTAATCAATATGTATTAGCCCACTATTGAGCCCTTTTAAAGAGTGCACCCCAACCCTACAGCGTCCTCCCCACTCATGCAAAACAGACCCACTTCTCTCTCTGAAGTGTGCTTTTGCTTTGCAATAAAAAGCTTCTAAGTGAATGCTTATCGTTCATGTGTGATTGAGAAGCGGGAATTCAGTCTTTACACCCCCTGAAGAGTGACGGGGCTACATCTAGCTGAAGGAATTCCTTCCCCAATTCAGTCACTGTCTCCCATGTCATCTTATTTCACTTTCGTCACAGTTACTGTTTGCCCACTTGTTTGTCCTGCCCAGGAAAATATAAACTCCATGAGAGGAGGAGCCTTGTCTGCTGGCTCATTGCTTGTGCCCTGGCATCCCTGGCTCCTCAGGACTAAATAAATCTTTACAGGCTGAAATAGTGTGATAGGGTGGAGTGCCAGGTATATTATATAGTATATATATAAGCGCTTGGGTAGCGTAGTGGTTACGAATCGGGCTGCGAACCACAAGGTCAGCAGTTCGAAACTACCAGCTGTTCTGCAGGAGAAAGATGAGGCTTCTGCTCCCGTATATTTACAGCCTTGGAAACCCTGTACAGGGTCACTATGGGTCAGAACCAACTCCACGGCACACAGCCAACCTATATAT